GCTTCAAACTCATTAGAATTGAAGATGGCCTTAAACTCCTGATTCTCCTGCCTCCACCGCCCAAATGCTGGATGCTGAGATTGCAGGCATGCCTCTGCTCCTGGCTTTCATCCTCTATCTAACAAAGCTATGTAGATTTCCCCGCTTTAAGACAGGGTGTCACTGGCTGGCTTGAACTCACAGGAATCCACCTGCCTTTGTCTCTTGGGCCTGAGTGCTGGGATTAAAGGCATACACAACCAGGCCTGGTGAAAATAGATTCATTTGTGCTGCTGGAGATGGAACACAAGTGTTCTATCTGTGAGCCATTCTTCCAGCACTAAGCCTGCCAGGATGAAGCTGGCCCATGTCACTACCTGTGGTTCTTCAAGTCTGGACCTGGCCCCTCCCTATTTAATCTAGGTGAGCTTGTTTACAAGCTAGTAGGGGAAAGCCAGAGGCAGGCTGTTACTCCCCAGCTAAGATCACAGCTAACCTATCCCAGACACTACTGGCCAGGCCTCCCACAGGAGTGTCTGAAGTCAGAACACAGTGGGGATCAACATGAGATTTCACCCCAGATTTCCCCATGGCAGGCCTGGAAGCTGGGAACATACAATCTCAGTTTAGGAAGGCAAGACCGCATGTGTTGTAATTGAATTAGTCCCCTAGATTCATGGAGGCCATCCCGCTAGCTCCCTTCCTGCCTGCATTTAGGGAAGCTGAGCATTTGAACATTGGCTGCCAGAAGCGAAGCCTTGAGTCTCATGTGAAAGTTACTGAGTTTCAGTAAACTGAGCAACTGGACCTTTACAGCTGGGGATATAGCTCAGTGGTAGTGTGTTTGCTTAGTAAGCGTGTCCCTAGGTTCAATCCAGAGAGAGAAGAGGCAGAGGAGGACTACTTGTCTAGGCCTGTAATCCCAGTGCTCAGAGGCCGAGAAAGGAGGATCGCATATTCAAGTCTGGTGTGATGGTGCACACATGTAATTCCAGCACTGTGGAGGCAGAGGACGGCACATCTCAGAGTTCCAGGACTGCCAGGGCTACACAGAAAGACCGTCTCAAAACAACCAAAAACAGGGGCTGGAGAGATGGCTCAGTGGTTAAGAGCACTGTCTGCTCTTCCAGAGGTCCTGAGTTCAATTCCCAGCAACCACATGGTGGCTCCAAACCATCTGTAATGAGATCTGGCGCCTTCCTCTGGCGTGTGGGTATACATGGAGGCAGAAAGTTGTATAAATAAATAAATAAATCTTAAAAAAAACCAAAAACAAAAGCAAAGCAGGTTGAAGTCTTGCCTACAGAATAAAACACTGATCCCAAACAAAACAAAAGCACCACTAATAAAATCCTTGGGTTTCAACTACTGTCCTAATAGGAGAAGCTGGCTGCTGTCTGTGTTCACAAACTGAGCAGAGACTAGGTGCTAAAGGTAACACTCTCATAGGTCACATACTACCTGGAAAGAAATGCCCCAGAATAACAATAAAGCCATCCATGATGACCCATGCCTACAATCCCAGCACAAGGGAGGCGGAGGCTGGGGTTATAAGGAGTCCTGCCCTTTGAAGTTGGAGAAGTTTATGCCCACCCACAGTCAGAGTTCTCGGTACTATCTGCCTCTTTGAAAGGCCAGTGCCCATCCACCGGTCCTAGGAACCATCTGCCCATGTTTCCTCCATAGGGCAGCTAAGAAGTCTGCACCAGACTTAAGGGGAAAAACTGAAAGCTTAGTGTCAGCGGTTGGGAAAGACGGTGGTCACTCACCACCCAGTTCTAGGAGCTGTGGAAGCTCACTGCTTGAGGCCAAGCGATGCTGGTACCCTTCTACAACCTAGGTTCTGGGTACTATGCAAGCTCTCCACCTAAGTTAGAAATGTTGGTACCCACCCACCACCCAGGTTCCCATGGGGATTCTGGGGAACTTCAGAGCTGGAAACTGGGAGCTCATCCCCCAAGTTCTCTGAGCCTTCTGCCCTTCCCTTCCCTTCCCAACAGAGCAGCAGAGAAAGTCCGCACTAGACTTGAACGCGAAGCTGGGCGCTCACCGCCCAAGGTCGGGGATGTTGACGCACACACGCTGCCCAGGTTCTAGGAGGCATCTGTCAATCTCTCTCCCATAGGAATGCAGAGAAGACCTCAGAGAACTTCAGAACGTTAACTGGCCGCTCGCCTCCCAAGGTCAGGTATGTTGATACCCACCCGACGCCCAGATTCTAGGATCTGTGGAGGCTCTCCGCCTGAGGTCGGAGATGCTGGTGCCCACCCGCCGCCCAGGTTCCAGAAGCCGAATGCCCATTTCTCCCGCTCTGGACTTGAGGAGCGGAGGGCTGGGCGCTCGCCTTCCGAGATCAAGGAGCCGGACGCGCCCTCCCGCCGCCCGCGCTCACCTGAGCCGCGCCGGCCCGCCGCGGTGGCCATGGCCGCACGGTGAGCGCGGGGCGCGGGCGGGTCCGAGAGCGCGCCGCGGTCACTGCGGCCTCGCTCCCTCCCGGCGTCGCTTCAAACCCTCTCGCGTCAGCTGACAGGAGCCGCGGTCACGTGAGCGGGACGCCAGCGCTGAACACGTGACGAATTCTGACCCAGCCTAGGATGCCAGGGCAGTGCTTCCCCTCCGTCCCTCCATTCCCGCAGTGCGCATGCGCCTCCTCGGTAGCGCCGTGCCGGCTAAGGGCAGTCGCGCGGTCCTAGCACCGACTAGCAAGGCTAACAGGTCTGGGAAACTTGATTTCTAGCGTGTGGCAGGGACTGGTTCCGATCTGGCTCCGTGTCAGCCTCGTGACTTCTATGCCTACAGCTCGCGCTGTTACCCTTCATGGTGTCCGGTGATGATCCTACGTCCTAAGCCTAAAGTACCCTCCCCTCAACTCCCAGAAACTTTTCCGGTCTCCCATCCAGGTTACAAGCAAACTGTACTTTCTAAGCCAAATAAAACCATTTTCTACCAGCCCAAACACTTCGGCCTTTCTGCACTCAGTCCTGCCTTTTACTGCCAACCTCCGCCTATGAGCAGCCTGAAGGACCTCCATAGAATTTGTCTCTACTAGAACCTCCTAGTGGTTTCCCGTGGCTTTGCAAAGACCTGAAAACTTCGCGCTCAAATGGAGACTCCACCTCTTTATGGCCTCAGGACATTTGCGGTCTTCGGTAGCAAAGATAGGTTCTGTGTAATTTTGAATCCAAGCACTTCTAACCATCACTTCAAAACTTTCCAGAGTGCCTTAAACTATGCGATCTATTTCTTTCTATTAATAATAATAATAAATTAAAATCTTGCTGGGCGTGGTGGTTTATGCCTTTAATCCTGGCAAGTGGAGCTGAGTTCAAGGTCAGCCACAAAGCAATTTCCAGGACAGCCAGGAAGAGAAACCCTGTCTTGGAAAAAAACCAAAAACAACAAAAATTTCTTTTTCTTTGTAAAATGGGAATCACCCACAGTTATCTGCCTCTCAAAGCGGTACAAGACCATTTTCCCAGTGTTGAGGCTGTCACCCAGTTGGTAGGGTGCTTGTTCAGCAAGCACAAACTGGGATCTGTCCCCAGCACTGCAGAAACAAGGCAGGATGGCCAGTGCAGTCAGTAATATTGGTAAACATAGTAAGACTCCCTCAAAAGCCAGACATGGAGGCTGGTGAGATAGCTTAGTGGCCTAAGTGCTTGTTTATATGAGTTCGGGACTTGAATTCAGGTCCCTAGAATTCATATAAAAACCATGGCTTGGTACCTGCAATCCCAGCATTGAGGAGGCAGAGAGGAGAGGATCCTTGAGGCCCAGGCCCGGGTGCCAGGCATTCTAGTAAATCTGTGAGCTCCGGGATAAAACACATAAGGGGCTGGAGAGATGGCGTAGCAGTTAGGAGCACCGGGTCTTGTAGAGGATTAGAGTTCAGTTCCCAGCATGGCAGCTCACAACCATCCCTAACTCCATTTCCAGTATATACTGACCTCCAAAGTTACTAGTCACAGTGAACACTTACCTGGAAGCAAAATACTTATAGATCTATAATAAAAATAAAAAAAGAAGAGCAAAAAGGAAGACATCAACCTGGATCCCTTACCTTCATTGTACACACAAACAGGCACTCACATCCACACCCACAATTACAACACACACTCATACACACACACACACAAGCAGGCATGTTGCGTCTTGTAGAAGATGGTTTTTGAAACCACAGCAAGGTCTGTGTAGTGATACCCTACCCCTAAAACAAAATAAATCAAACATAAAACTCTTCCTCAGGAAAAGTGATCCCTCCACTAAATCAGAAACCTTGCTATGCTTTAGAATGTTCCACCCTCTGTGCTTAGCTTTATAAGTGTCCAAACTGTGCTGGTCTTGCTTCCTGCTGGGACCTCAATGAGCATTAGATGTTTATTGAGGCATGATGGTTTACAGCTATGCACCCAGGAAACTGAGGCAAGCCTGGACTACATCGAGTTCCAGGCCAGCACGAGGTACAAAATGAGACTTTATCTTAATAAACAAACAAATCAAGAGCAGAGATCTTTCGATGTTAATCCTGGGTCAGTACCCAGGACCCACATGGCAGTTCATAACTGCCCATAGCTGCCGTCCAGGGCATCCAGCACCACTCTGGCCTCTCTGGGCACCAGGTATGCACTTGATGCACTTTGTATGCAGGCAAAACACTCATACACATGAAATAAAAATAAAACTTTTAAATAAAATAAAGAAGGTTGGTAGAAGGCTTATCAGGTAAAGGCACTTGCTGCCAAGCCTGATGGGTTTAGTCCCCAGAACCTTCATGGTAGGAGAACCGGCTCCTGAAAGTTATCTTGCCTCCACACAAAATGAATGTATATGATGACTCAGTGGGTAAGAGCACTACTGCTCTTACAGAGGACCTGGGTTCAATTCCCAGAGCCAAGATCATGGTTCATAACCAGCTGTAACTCCAGTTCCAGGGGATCCAGCGTCCTCTTCTGGCCTATGTGGGCATTCCATGCACATAGTACACAGATATACATACAGGCAAAACATTTATACACATCAAATAAAAATAGATATTTTAATATAGAAATAAGCAACAATCACCAAGTAATAGCATAGCCTTTTGGGACAGAGTCTCACTACATAGCCCAATCCTCCTGCTACCACCTCCAGAGAGCTGGGGTGACAGTCCTGCGCCACTACACAGGCTAAGAGATGTTTGTTAAGCACATAAGGAAGAGCAACCTCCACTCCCCCAGTGGCTTTTCAAGGGCAAGGAGGTTAGCTCAAGGATCCAATGGATCCTTTAGTAGCCCACTAGAACATCAGCATGCCTGAAATTCCAGCACTGGAAAACACCCACAGACGTTGAGTGACTGATCACAGTGGCCAGACCCAGGAGAACAGTGGCATGATGTGTGGGAAAGATTGTGTGGGGCCTTGTATGGGAAGCTAGGAAGCCTAGAGGGTGTGCCTCCACCGGTCTGGGCTCTGACCACACCCTCCACCCCTACCCGCAATAGGAGAAAGCGCAAAAGGCAAGCAACACACAGAGTCAGGAGGCAGGAGGATTTTACTATGAATATAACAGACACTTTCCCCAAACCACCATAGATGCCAGTGCCCCCTTTATCCATCGGGCCCTAGCAGTGCCCCTTCCTCCTTTACCCACTTGGGACTCTCTCCAGTTGGAAGGGCTGGGCTGGGACTGTCGTGAATAGGAGAGCAGAGATTCATTTGGGACTTGGGGTTGGGGTCAGGACTGGGGACGAGATCGGGGGTTGGGCTGGGATCAGATTCTTGGTCAGGACTGGGCACCACATCAGGGTCAGCATCATGGCCTGGTTTAGGGTCAGAAGACAGAACAAGATCGGGACTGGAGACGGATCCTGAGTGGGTCTGGAGGATGGGATTTCGGAGTGAACCCAGCACAGAAGTAGGATCAGGACTTCGAGCAGAGCTGGCACCAGAACTGAGGTCCAGGCCAGATTCCAGCACAGAAACAGCATCGGGACCTAGGAAAGAGATCTGCCCTGGCCTCACCATAGAAACTGGGCTCAAGCCAGGCCCGAGGCCCAGCCCAGCTGCGGCCGCTGCAGCAGCTGCTGCTGCGGCCGCTGCAGCTCCCTCGTGCACCCGCTTATGCTTGGTGAGGCTAGAGGCTTGGCCAAAGGCCTTGCCACAGAGCTGACAACGGTAGGGACGCTCGCCAGAATGCACGTGGAGGTGTTGCAGGAGCGCCGAGCTCTGCCCAAAGGCCTTGGAGCAGTGTGGGCAGGCATAAGGTCGCTCACCAGTGTGGATGCGGAGGTGGTGCTGCAAGTTGGAGCTCTGCCCAAAGGCCTTGCCACAGTGGGGACAGCGGTAGGGACGCTCAGCCGTGTGCGTGCGCTGATGCTGGAGCAAGGCTGAGCTCTGCCCAAAGGCCTTGCCGCACTGTGGGCATGGGTAAGGACGCTCGCCTGTGTGGGTGCGCAGGTGTTTAAGCAGCGCAGAACCCTGCCCAAAGCCCTTGGCACACACCGGGCACTTGTGGGGACGAGGGCCACCATGTGTGCGCAGGTGTTGGGCCAGCAACGAGCCATGACCAAAGGCCTTGCCACACACCGGGCAGTGGTGTGGCTTCTCCCCGCTGTGGCTGCTGCGATGTTTGAGCAGTGTGGACCGCCAGCCGAAGGCCTTGCCGCAGGCAGCACACTGGTAGGGCCTCGCGCCCGTGTGGATGCCTCGATGCTGGGCCAGTGTGGCGCCGTGGCTGAATGACTTGCCACAGTCGGGACAGCGGTAAGGCTTCTCTCCACTGTGGGTGCGCCGGTGCTGGCTCAACCCAGAGCTGCGACGGAAGGCTCGCCCACAATCGGGACAGGAAAACGGACGAGGTGGACTTGCGGGGGCGGGAAGCACTGCTGGGTTTGTGGCCAAGATTTCAGGGGTGGCAGTGAGGCCAGAGGGAAGGGGATCCACATCTGGAGCAGCCGGGCTGAGGGTGTCACTGCTTGGGTCCAGAACCAGGGGCACCGGGCCAATGACATCAGGATCAAGGTCAAAACTTGAAGACGTGGGATCCAAATCTTGGGAATCTGAGTCTGGCTTCCCCAAAATGGACTGCTGAGCTTCTTCTGCCTCAGGGTCCAGATCTTCAAAGCTGGCGTCCCCATCTTCTGAGACAGTGTTGAGGTCTTCCGGCTCCGGCTCGGGGCTTTCAGAAATAGGGTCTGGATCTTTGGGACTGGGGTCCAGGTCTTCTGGGTCTGAATGGAGGTCTCCATAAAGTGGCCTAAGGCTCTTGTGGCCCGGATTCCTAACCAGGACTGAGCGTCTCATCCTAGAAGTGCAACTGCTTGCGGCTTCTGGCACAGAATCTGCAGTATGAGCACAGGAGATTGGTGGAGGGAGGTGCGGGGGAAGGGGAAAGAGACTGGCCCATGCCACACAAAAGTCCCTGCTAACTACATAGATTTTGTTTTTGTTTTTAACCACAGGAAGAGTTCTAACTGGTGTCCTACCTAGGATTTAGAGGGGAGGGACCCTAGTGGGACATGCTGACAGTCTCCGTTTTCAGCTTAAACCTGGAGGGGATAAGAGGCCATCTTGGGTTTTTGTTTTTTTAAGCAAGGTCTTGTGTAGCCTGAGTTGTCTTTCAACTCATAAGTAACCAAGGATAACCTTAAATTTCTTATCCTCCTGCCTCAACCTCCTGAGTGTAGAACTGCAGGCTGTGCACGGGCACATTCGACTTAGGTAGTCCTGGAATTCAAACCCAGGGTTTCCTGCACGGTAGGTGAGCGACATCTCTAGCTCCATCCTGAGCTCTTGTAGGAAGGGAGCTTGGGTCTTATAGAAGACAATTCTAAGGTCTGACACCCTTCATCTGGAGAAAAGGATGTCAGGGTTCTTTGTTCCTCATGAGGTCATGGTCTGAATTCTTGCCCCACCTTAGAAAGTGGTAGATCAGGATGTTCCTGATAGAGAGGGGAACTTGTGTGGTTTATCCTGCAGAAGCAGAATGGGTGGTGGTAACGCTGAGAAGTTAATGATAGCTGGTACCCCTTCTGTGTCCCAGTGAAGAATTCTAGACCTCCCAGCTTGGGTGGGATATATTATCTCCTAGACAGAAGATCTTTGGTGTCTATTCCCTAAGCTAGAGGACACGGGAGAGGAGACCTGAGCTAGCTGGCTCAGTACACACCTGTAATCCCAGCATCTGGGACGCTAAGGCTGGAAGATCTGCACAATTCAAGGGCAACCTGGGCTACAAATGTAACAGTTTTCAAAATTAAGGAGAGTGAATAAATACATGGGTCTTTCCTAGGGAAGAGAGTGCGACGGGGGGGGGGGGGGGGGGGGGGGGGGGGGGGGGGGGGGGGGCACTAAGAACTCCACAGCCAGAAGGGAGGAGAGAGCAGTTAATAGATCTATTTTCCAATTGGTTAGAGGATTGTGCTTTTAACCCCTTGGTGAAAACAATAGCTGGGCACTGTGGGGTGATGGAGAAAACTGGGGGGGGGGGGTTGACAGGATAAGGGAGAGGAGGCATGTCTCCAGGAAACTGAATGCCTGAGCCCCAGACTCAATGATTAGGGTGTGAAGACTGTGTTAAGGGGAAGGCTAGGGGGGCTGTGTTAAGGGGAAGGCTAGGGGGGCTGTGTTAAGGGGAAGGCTAGGGGGGCTGTGGATTGGGAGAAAGTAAGAGAGCTCTACTTTGGGGCTGAGGGAACTCTTTTGTTTGTTGGACTGGGTTCCTGGGGATTAGGAAAATCTACCCAGCCCCAGCCTCACAGCCAGGAGACTTACACAGAGGGGTGCTGAGTTCCCCTAAAAACTTCTCTACCCAGGCCCCACTGTTGAGATTAGCGGGCAATACTCCCGGGAGTCCTTCCAGATTTCTGGGAGGCAAGGGACTTTTAGATTGTTTCGAAGGAAGCAGTTTCATGAACTCCCATCTTGGATGGAAACTCCCATCTCTTAGACGAGGGAGAAGGCAGGTGCACCCGGATCACCTCTTGGGAAAAGGGGCTTCAAAGAACTCCCAAGTCTGGGAGGTGGGAGATAACAATTGGGATTCTTTTCCTGGGACCCTTGAGGTAATACTATACCTCCCCGCTGCACACACACACTATGGAGTAAAAGGCCTTTCTTAAGTCCCACATCGGAGGAAGAACAATACCCCAGGCTTTTCTTGGTTTCCAGAAAGAAAGCACCTCCACCCACCCACCATCACCTCCTGAAGCAAGGAGGCGTCCTGCGCTGCAGGACCTCAGAGCTAGCGGGCGCCTCCACCCACCCCGATCACAGGCTCACAGTGGGGGGGGGGGGGGGTTTGCGGGTGGTCCCGGGGGTGGCGGTTTAAATGCACTAGGCCTGAGCTTCTTGGGGACCCCCCGTCTTCCACCGCGTCTGCCACCTTGACTACCTAGCTCGAGAGCTGGCACCACACACTCGGCGAGGGGTGCATATAAGTAGCCCAGAGCCGCGCCCCGCACCCTGCTCTTAGTGTGGGGGCCTCCTCCCAGCCACCTCCCCCTTTTGCCGAGTCTTTCCCAGTCTGCCCGATCCGCTCTCGGGGTCACTCACCCGATGCCCCTCGCCCCTGCCCGGCCCAGCTGCACCAGCGCTGGCCAGACGGCGTCTCCCCGCCCCAGGCTCGCAGGAAACCCCACCGCCCACCAGCCCCGCCGGCGGCCCCCTCGGCCCAGCGGCCCCGCCAGGCGCTCCCGGGGAGCGAGAGGGGCCGGCCGAGGGCCGCTGCGGGAGCTGCTGGGACTTGTAGTTCGCCCGCGCCCTCGGCGGCCGGCGCCATCGCTGCCCCCGCCCCCCGGGCCAAGTCTTTGTCCCGGCCCTGGCCACCCCGGCCAGCACGCGTCCAGTCTTTGTCTGCGTCCTACCAGCCCGCGCTATCCTGGCACGATCCCTCCATTCACCCATGTGCCTCTTTCCGCCCCTTCTCCGACTCTGATCTTGACACTCTCCATCTGTATCCCTGTCTGTGTCTCCATCTGTACATCTCTCTTCTATTCTGTCCGCTCCTCTCTGTCTCTTTTTGCCTTCACCCCCTTAAAAAAATTAATTATTTGATTTAGTGTGTATTAGTGCCGTGTTGCTCATGGGAAAGGAAGTTGGAGGACAACTTGCAGGAGTCAACTCTCTCCTTCCACCTTATAGATCCCAGGGACGAACCGTGATTAACCTGTACTTGGTGAAACAATTCTCCTTTCTTCTTTTCTTTCTCTGTTCCTACCAGGCTCTCTCTTTTTCATCTTTCAATTTCTTTGCCTCTGGCCCGGTCATTTTCTGTGCCTTTGCCCTCTTTTGTTTCTGCCGGCCTTTGTCTTGGTCTTTTGCCCATTTTTCTATCTTGGTTCAAACAACAGCTATCATAATATCCAACCACATAGGCAAAGGGAGGCTCTGAGAAGCCCTGCAATTTAAAAAGTGTTTGTCTTTGCTTCATCCAGTATTATCTCAAAAAGTTTAGGGCTGTCAAAACAGTTCAGTGGGTGAAGGTCTGTGGTGAGACTGATGGGGACAGGGAGGTGACCCAGTCCGTAAACTGCACGCTGCAGAAGCTTAGGGACTTCAAACCTCTGGCAATGATGTGGAAAGACAGACTCAGTGGTGGGCAACCACAGTCCTAGATTTGAGGTGGCAGAGGCAAGAGGATCCAGGGACTCACGGGCCAGTCAGTCTAGCTGAATTAGTGGTTCCAGTTTCGTTGAGGAACTCTGTCTCAAAAAGTAAAGTCAGAGGACCAACGAGGCAGTTCAGTGGGTAAAAGTACTGGTTCAAGGGCTCTTAGACCTGAGTTTGATTCCCTCGTCCCCACATGGTGGAAGGAGAGAACTGTCTCCTACAAGTTGTCCTCTGTCCTCCACCTGCAAGCCATACGTACCCCACCACATAAATAAGTAAGTAAATAAATGTAATCTAAAAAAAAAATCAAGATAGCCTGGCTGTGGTGGTACACTCCTTTAATCCCAGCACTTGGGAGGCAGATGCAGGCTGATCTCTGAATTTGAGGATGACCTGGTTTACAGAGCTAGTTCCAGGACAGTCAGGGCTACACAGAGAACCCTTATCTTGAAAAAACAAATATAATAAATAAACAAACAAACAAATAAATTCCATATAAATAAGGAGGTGCACAATTGAGGACGACACCTGAAGTCAACCACTGTACTCCACACACATGTATGTGTGCAGCCCCCCCCCCCCCACACACACACAGTTGTTTGTTCATAGAATCCTTCACTACCTTCAGGAAACTTTTTCGTCCCCTGTCCCCAGTAGTAAAGTCTGAAACTTCCATCTTCTCAGCCTCCTATTCTAATGTCAGGTCAAGAAGCTGGAGCAAGTGCTGATTTTGGGAACACTGACATCGCCTGTCAGCCAGGATTAAAGAAGGCTATAGGGCAAATTTTACGACTTAGACACACCTCCCTCCACCATAGAGAATAGAGAATGAAAACAAGCCCTGGGCGGCTGGCAGCGGGACACAGACCTAAGCATAAATGATGGGGTACAGCAAGGCCACCCGCTGACCATATCTGACCTAAGATAGGCTGCAACCAAAACAATGACCACACATCCCTCCTTTTCCCCATAACACAAATGACTGCCCCTGTCTGCCAGCCACAGCCCACATTCCATTTTCAATCCTCCCACAGCTCTGAGATAAGAGTTGCTGGAATCCCAGCCACAGACTGTACCAACCATAACTGCTTCAATTTCCCCTAAAGCCACCTGGCGCAAGTTTATGCCCCTCCCCCAGAAGTCTCCCAACATCCTCTGCTAAAGAGAGTCCTCTTTCAGCCTGGGATCTTTCTCACTGAATACAGAAGCTTGTGTTCCTCCCTGTTTTCCTCCCTCCCTTCCTCTACATGTAGCTCAGGCTGATCTCAAACTCACCATATAGTTGAGGAAGACTACCCTGGGCTAAATGAAACCCTTTTTCAAAAATATAGAAGCAAAACAAGATAGACAGAAAGAAACTGAAAACAAAATGCCCCCCAAAGAAAACCAAAATAACAGGAATCACCCCTGGGAAAGAAGAGGACATTGAAATGTGGAGCTCTCTCCCTCCACCATGTGGGTTCTCAGGGTGGAACTCAGGTCTCCCCAGGTGGCCACAAATTGGACCTGCTGGGCCCATCCCACAGGCCCTTTTTCAATCTTATGTCATAAAAGACATATACGATTCTTTTTTTTAAAATATTTTATTTATTTATTATGTATACAATATTCTTTCTGTGTGTCTGCCTGCAGGCCAGAAAAGGGCACCAGATCTCATTACAGATGGTTGTGAGCCACCATGTGGTTGCTGGGAATTTGAACTCAGGACCTTTGGAAGAGCAGGCAATGCTCTTAACCACTGAGCCATCTTTCCAGCCCTGACATATAAGATCTTACACACATTTTTTTTGACAAAGAAGAGATTGTGTCTACTCCATGTGAAATTGGTGAGCTGAATTCTCTGTCCGCACCAAATGATGAAGGTAATGAGGTAGAGATAAAACTGGCATTATCAGAGATAATCGAGGTGGATTCTAGCTGCCCCTTCCTCCTGACAGATTAAATACTCCCTGTCCACAGAACCTAAGTATTCCTTTCAGTAGTGAGAGCTCACTACAGGCTTTAATTTACCCTCGTTAGGTTATGACTTTCAACTAGATAGATGGTCTGGGCAGACATAGGTCTATTGCTAGGAGACAAGAACCAGTAATATTAGGCCCCAGAGGGAAAAGATTGTGGAGTGGCCAAGCATGTGGTGTATACCTTTAACCCCAACACTCAGAAGGCAGAAGCAGGCAGATCTTTATGAGTTCAAGACTGGCCTGGTCTACTCTAGGCCAGCCAAGGCTATAGAGTGAGATCCTGTCTCCAAATAAACAAACAAAACCAAAAACACAACAAAAACATTATGGTGAGAGCCAGAAGGATGGCTTTGTGGGTAAGGTGCTTGCTGCCAAGCCTAAGTTTAATCTCCCCCCTTATCCACATTGTGGAAGGAGAAAATCAACTCCTATAAGCTGTCTTCTGACCTCTACCCAAGCAACGCAGCACTTGTGCCCCACAGCAACCCGCACTAAGTAAATGAATGTAAAACAAACAAACAAACAAAACCCCAAACCATTGAAACTTTTAAAAAACTGGCATGCTGGTACCCACCTTTAATTCCAGCACTCAGGAAGCAGAAGAAGGCAGATCTCTATGAATTTGAGAACATCCTGGTCTACATAGATAATTCCAAGTCACTTAGGGCTACGTAGTGAGATGTTGTCTCTAAAAGGAAGGGGCGGTGGCCCCTGAAGAAATGGCTTAGCGGTTAAATGCATTTGCTGCTCTTACAGAGGACCAGAGTTCAATTCCCTGCACCCACATAGCGTAATTCACAAATACCTGTAACTCTAGCTCCAGAGGACACGATGCCCTCTTCTGGTTTCTGTAGACATAACCAAGATGCATATAAATAAAATAAATATTTTTTAAAATTAAAAAAAAAAAAGACCTGAAGGAGTCTGGACTGATACTGTCCCAGAGTCCAGGACTCTTCACCACACTCAATGTTCCTGCCCAAAGCCTTTGTACGGCACTAGCCATTTTCTCCTTTATAGTAAGTACTTTAAAGACTTTCATTTTCTCTCTTTTCTAGTAACTAAAGACTTTCTTTAAAAGATTTAGTCATTTTTATATGTATGGGTGTTTCGTCTGCATGTATGTATGTGCTCCACAAAGAAGCAAGTGCCATAAGGGCCCAACAGAGGGCATCAGAACTGAAGTTAAAGACAGTTAGCTTAGGCAACATATGGGCACTGGGAATTGAGCCCAGGTCCTCTGGAAGAGCAGCTAGTGCTCTTAACTGCTGAGATATTTCTTTCTTTTCTTTCTTTTCTTTTCTTTCCTTTCCTTTCCTTTCCTTTCCTTTCCTTTCCTTTCCTTTTCTTTTCTTTTCTTTTCTTTTCTTTTTGGTTTTCAAGACAGGGATTCTCTGTGTAGCCTTGCTGTCCTGAAAAACTCACTCTGTAGACCAGGCTGGCCTTGACTCAGAGATCCACCTGCCTGTGTTCCCCAAGTGCTGGGATTAAAGGAGTGCACCACGACTGCCTGGCTGATTTTTAACTTTTTAAATTATGTGTCTACATGCATATCTGTGTGTGTATGAGAGAGAGAGAGAGAGAGAGAGAGAGAGAGAGAGAGAGAGAGAGAGAGAGAGAGAGATCAGTGCATTCGGAAGCTGGGGCACTGGGGCTGGACTCACAGGTGGTTGTGAGCCACTAGACGTGAATGCTGGGAATAAAACTCAGGTTATCTGCAGGAGCAGCCAGGGCTCTTAACCACTGAGTCATTTCCAGACCCGCTATCCAGAAGAGCTGGATGTTGGTGGTGCATGTCTTTAATCCCAGGAGTCAGAGGCAGGTGGATCTCTGAGTTCAAGGCCAGCCTGATGTGCAGAGAGAGTTCGAGGACTACCAGGACGACCAGGACGACCAGGACTACCAGGACTACCAGGACTACCTCTTGCCTGAGTCTCCAGGTGTGCTCCACCACACACAGCTGCTCAGGTGTCTTGGTGACATCATTCTCTCCAGCACAACCCTCTGTATTAGTTACTTGTCTCATCACTTGAGAAACTATCTGATAGAAGCTCACAGTTCAGGGTTGTGGAGATGGCTCAGCGTTAAGAGCACCCACTGCCTTCCACAAGACCGGGATTTAAATTCCAGAACCTACATGGTGGCCCACAACCATCTGTAACTCCACTTCCAGGGGAGCCAAAGTCCACTTCTGGCTTCCACAGGCACCAGGATGTCCATGGTGTGCAGACATACATGTAAGCAAAATACACACACACTCTAAGAAAAAAAAGAAAGGAAGGAAGGAAGGCAGAGAGGGAGGAGGGAGGGAGGGAGGGAGGGAGGGAGGGAGGGAGGAAGGAAGGAAGGAAGGAAGGAAGGAAGGAAGGAAGGAAACTTCACAGTTTGAGGGCACGGTTCATCACGGTGGGATGGCAAACTGACAGGAGCTAAGGCAGCTGGTCACATTGCCTCCACAGTCAGGAGAAGGCTGGCAGTGAAGAATGCTGGAGCTTAGGACACTTACTCCTTGTTCAGGCTGGAACCCTAGATCATGAAATTGAGCCACCTATACTTAGGGTCTTCTTGCCTTACTTAACCTAACCTAGAAACTCTCACGTAGACATGCTCAGTGGTTGGTTTTCACAAAGATTCTAAATTCTGTCCAGGGCAGTGAAGATGGCTCAGCAAACAGAGGCCTTGCCACAAAGCTTGGTCCTTGGGGACCTGAGATGGTGAAAGGAGAGAACCAATTCTTGCAAGTTGCCTTCTGACACCCGAACCCTACTGTGGCAAATGCTCAAACACAAATCAATTTTTTTTAAATTAATGAAGTTTTTTTGTGAAGATAAAGCCTGTCAAGTTGACAATCAAGTGATATTTATTGCTGGCTCAGGCAAGGATACAATGGGAGTTGGGGGCTCAGAGGGTCTACTTTCTGTCCCCAGCAGCCCACGCTTTTGGGCGTGCCCAGTGGCACATGGCTCTCCTGAATGTTACTTGGCTTCAGTACCAGCGGGCCCTGGTACTTGAAAGGAAACTGGTCTTGAAAATGGGTGGAGAAGAAGCGCTGTCCACCCAGAGGGGGCTCTATGTGGCTGTATTTGCACTGTGAAGTCAAGGTAGGTGATTTGTCAGACAGCCTTGTGCTTGCTGACCCTGGCCACCTCTAGATCTCTCTGGGGAGGGCATTGGAGGGCGAGAAGTCGCTCAGCACTGTACCCTATATGGGAGGACCTGCATTCCATCCCTGGGGCCTACATGGTAGAAGAGAATTGACTACAGCAAGTGTCCTCTGACCTTCCCATGTATACCAAGGCATGTGTGTGCCCATGCATTCACATACATGCACACACCCACACACCCCACTAAAATAAAATGTCATAAAAATTAAACGATCAGGGGCTGGAGAGATGGCTCAGAGACTAAGAGCACTAACTGCTCTTCCAGAGGGCCTGAGTTCAATTCCCAGCAACCACATGGTGGCTCACAACCATCTAGAATGAGATCTGGTGCCCTCCTCTGGCCTATAGGTATATAGGCAGACAGAACACTGTATATATAATAAATAAATAATAAATCATAAAAATTAAATAAATAAAATCATTTTTTAGACAGCCCCTAGAATGACCCCAGGACTTTGGATGGTCTTAGGTGGCCTCTAAATGAACCCTTCTTTTGAGATTTAAACCAACCTGTCTGGTAATAAATGTATCTGAATTGGTGTAGACTTGAGAGTTGGGAGAAGCTAGGGCTAACCTTGAAGCTGGGTTATTAACATGACCTCTGAATTCTGAGTGGTAGTGCATGTGTGCCTGCAACCTCAGCCCTGGGGAGATGGAGGGAGGGGGTCATCTCGAAAAAATAAAAAAGACTCTTAGCTTGATCCTCAGCACTGACAAAATTACTTTCAGCACAGGTTGACCCTAGCTGACTCGACTGTGATTCTGAGACTGGGGTTGACATTAGTCTGAGGGGTGCTGATGAGGGGATGTATCCCCTCCCTCTGACTCACCTTCTGTAACAATTCTTCGGTGATAGTGGCTCGAACTGTTCCATGCGGCTTCATCATCTTTTGGTTCGTGGTTAAAAAGTCTAATTCTGGAGATTTGGGTTTGGGGAAAGTTGGGGAGCAGAGGAAACGAATGAGGCAGGGTATGAGGGACCAAGGGTGGAAGATACAGGGTTCAGGGACCTATGTTGAACTGAGGTAAAGACAGTGTGAAGTGTCAGCAGGATTAAGCCAGAGGAGTCTGAAGGGCGGGGCCAGGGAAGTCACTGCCTAGCCAGCGCCTAACAGAGGAGGAGGGCTTAGGGATGGATGAGGGAGAATAAGGGAAAAGGGCCTTGCCCAGACTATAGGATTGGAATTACACATAGTTTGCATAGTCCAGGAGATCAGAGTTGTCAATCCAAGGTGGAGTCAATTCGAGGTAGGTGGTGGTAGGCACTTTGAGGGACGGAACTTTGGGAATGGGTCGGGGCTTTAGGAAGGGGGGATGAACTTGGGGGATGGGGATGTGGCTTCCAGGGAGTTATGAGTCCAGCGATGGGCAGGTCTTTAAAGATAGAGTAAGATTTCTAGACATAAGAAGTATTTGATGGCACACGACTTTAATTCCAGCACTCGGGAGTCAGAGGCTGGTGGATCTCTGAGTTCGAGGCCATCCTAGTTTAAAAAGCGAGTTCCAGGACAGCCAAGGCTACACAAGGCTACTCAGAGAAACCCTGTCTGGGGAGGTGGGGTCAGGGAAGAGAAGCAAGTAATATGAGCATGTCCTTGGAGATGGAGAGTGGACTTCAGGGGATGGGCAGGTGTGTGGGAATGAACAGGGAATTGGGGCTGGGGTGTCTTTAGTACTGGCGCTGTGCTTTCATATGCGGGGGGGGGGGTCTTTAAGAATGAGGTGATGTTTTCAGCAATGGACAAATCTTCCAGGGACAGAAGCAGATCTTTAGAGCTGAAGGAGGGGATGGAGTGAGGGGCGGGGCATCAGGAAGGGACGGTTTTTAGTGAGGTGAGGCTTTCAGTGATGGACCGTGCTTCCAGGAACCAGGGAGGATCTTGGGGATGGGACAGGGTTCTCAGGGATGGGTAGACCACACTCACCACCTGTGCCCTCAGGCAAGTTACTCTGCAAGAAAGAAAAGTTACGGACTCTCTGTTTTGGGCTGGTGTCCGGAGGGCAGTAGGTGGAGCCCGTGGAGGTTTGGAAGAAGTCTCGGAGCAGCTTTTCTTCTCCCAGGATCACGTGATGCTTCAATTTCTCATGGGACACATGTCGCGTTGGAGGCTGAGTCACAGGAGGCGGCTGTAGGAATACAAGCTTCTAGAGATCTCTGGTCCAGAGGCTCCAGCACCGAGAAGCAGTCGCGTGGCGTGGGTAGCTCCCACCCTCTGGGTTCCAGATGGGCTTAGATTTAATTCGGTTATTGTATTTTACAGACAGAGCCATTGTGGCTGATACTGGTGCGTGTGCGTGCGTGTGTGTGTGTGTGTGTGTGTGTGTGTGTATGTGTGTGTGTGTGTTTGAATCCCAGGGCCTGAGGTCTATACTGAGCTTCACCTCTTGTTCTGCCTTTGAGACCCGCTTCCCCCCCATGAGAGCACACTGGCACCTTCTCCCTCTTCCTGCTGACCTCACCATAGAAGAACTTTGTGGAGGTGGCAAGGCTGCCAGGGCCAGGGCACCAGTTTCCTTCCAGGATGTGCGACTCTGGGGTCTTATCATGGTGAAGGACAAAAGGCTCTGCTGGGGAGAGGTGTGTCAGTGGTAGGCAGCACACAAAAAGAAGCCAGGGATGGAGTACACACACCAGTTCTCACCTGGCTTTCGGGGATAGAAGTGGTCGTTCATGGTGGTCCTGTCATGGAACATGCCGTCTCCAGGACCAATGCTCACCCGGTGGATGTGGGCTGCAGTCTGGGCCTTGTCATACCTCAGGCAAAGTGATGGGGTAGGTGAACCAAGGCTGAGCCTGGGGTGTGTCGATGTTTGTATAAGTTTGTGAGGCAGACTGAACCTGTAGTCCCGGCTGGCCTGCCTCTGCCTCAGGAGTTGTGCTGGTCAGTGGTCAACTAAACACAAACTGAATCACCCTGAAAGAGGTCCCCTCAACCTAGGAATTGTCTCCATCAAATTCCTGTTCTTGTGGTGTCTGTCTGAGGGGATTTTTTAGAAGGGCATTTTCTTCATTAATGATCGATGTGGGAAGGGCTGGCCCCTGTGGGTGGTGTCACCCCTGGACTGATGATTCTAGGTGGCTTACAAAAGCATGCTAAACCAGCCCTGGAGAACAAGCCAGTGAACAGCATTTCTCCAGGGCCTCTGCTTCAGTTCCTGCCTCTAAGAGGTTCCTCCTTGAGTTTCCTTGACTTCCCTCAACGATGGACTATAATCTACAAACCACTTTCCTTCCAAGGTTGCTTTTGGCCTCTGTGTTTATCGGAGCTGCAGAAGCCTAAGCAGGACAGGAGTGCCAGGATTAAAAGTATGCGCCACTTTGCTCAGCCTTTTTATTTTTATTAATTATTAATTATATTTATGTTTTTGGAGACAGAGTTTCGTCATATAGCCCTGGCTGTCCTGAAACTCACTCTGTAGACCAGGCTGGTTTGTTTCTGCCTCCCGAGTTCTGGGATTAAAGGTGTGTGCTGCCGCCGCCACTGCCATCACCTGGCTGTTTTGGGAGGGGGCGGGGGGGTTCAAGACAGTGTTTCTCTGTAGCTTTGGAGCCTCTCCTGGAATTAGCTCTTGTAGACCAGGCTGGTCTCGAACTCATAGAGATCCACCTGCCTCTGTCTCCCAAGTGCTGGGATTAAAGGTGTGTGCCACTACAGTCTGGTTTCTCACTAGCTATGGAGCCAGTCCGGGAACTTGCTTTGTAGGCCAGGCTGGCCTCAAACTCACAGAGATCCATCCACCTGACTCTGCCTCCTGAGTGCTGGGATTAAAGGTGTGCGCCACCATTGCCCTGCAACACCTGGCTGTTTTTAAAGATGATTGTTTTATGTGTATGAGTGCTTGCCTGTATATATGTAAGCGTACCACATGTTCCTGGTGTTTCTGATGCCCATAAAAGCCAGAAGATCTCCTTGAACGGGGATTACAGATAGTTGGGAGCCACCATGTGTGTACAAGAAATCAAATTCGGGTCTCCTGCCAGAGCAGCAAGTACTGCTGAGCCATCTCTCCAGCCCTTGTTTATTTATTTTAATTTATTTATTTTGAGGCAGGGTTTTGGTATGTGACTTTGGCTGAGCCAGAACTATGTAGACCAGGCTGGCGTTGACTTCACAGTGAACCCCCATTCTCTGGCCCCCAAGTTCTGGGATTCAGGGCATTCTCCTCCATACTCAGTTTCCCATTTTAAAAAGAATTTTTTAAATTAAATGTGTATGGGTATTTTTGCCTGCATGTATATCTTTGCACCGCATTCATACATGCTGCCTAAGGAGACAAGAAGGCATCAGGTCCCCAGGAACTGGAGTTACAAACAGTCATGAGTTGCCATGTGGGTGCTGGGAATCAAACTTGGGTCTTCTGGAAAAGCAGCCAGTGCTGTTCGCCAGTGAACAGACCACCCTCCCTATTTTTCAAGACAGAGTTTCTTTGTGTAGCTCTGGCTGTCCCTGGAACTTGGTCTGCAGACCATGCTGGCCTCAAACTCATAGAGATCAACCTGTCTCTACCTCTTGAGTGCTGGGACTAAAGGTGTGTGCCATCACTGCCTAGCCCTTTCCATTTGTTTGTTTGCTTTTAAAGATTTATATTTCATTTTTATTTTACATGCATGTGCATGTGCTACGTGTGTGGAGGCTGGCAGAGGCCAGAAGGTGGTGTTGGATCTTCAGAAACTGGAGTCATAGGCTGTTGAGAGCTACCACGTGAGTGCTGAGAACCAAACTCTGGTCTTCTGCATAGGAACAAGAGCTCCTATGCAGCTGTGGAAACATCTTTCCTTCTCCTTATTTTTGTGTGTGTTGTGCTGCTGTATGTGTGTTGTGCATATACAGGCTGTGTGCAAGTGTGAGCCCGAGTGTGTGTGTGTGTGTGTGTGTGTGTGTGTGTGTGTGTACCTGTGCTTCTTCCATGGTGCACATGTGGAGGTCAGAGAAGAGATTATGGAAATCAGTTCCCTCCTTTCGCTATGTAGATCCTAGGAATTGAACTCAGGTCATCAAGCTTGGTGGCAAGCACCTTTAATCACGGAACCATCTCATTGGCCCCTGTCTTGTTATTTTGAGAGCGAGTTTCACTGATCCTAGAGTTAGGCTGGCAGCTGACACGCCCCAGTGATTGCCCTGTCTGTGTGTACCACACCCTGGGGATGATGGGCACATGGCCACAGGCAGCTTTTTAGGTAGGCGCTGAGGATTTGAACTCATGTCCTCACGCTCATGCTGCAAACACTTTTCCATACTGAGCCATCTCCCCAGCCTCCCACAGGGTGCTGACAGGCAACTGTGAGCAAACTGTGGTCTTTCCTACCTGTGTGGTGGCAGCTCCTGAGGTGTGTACGTCTGTTTCACGTATGAGCACAGGGTGCTGTAGCCAACCTTGCTGTCTCCTAGGTTCACACTAGAGGAGGCCTACGGGCAAAGAAGGGTGGAAAGGTGGAAACCACCCTAGCTGCCATGGCTGCACCCTCCCCCCGCCCCAGCAAAGCCAGAGCCACATTGATTTACCCTCTTACACATCAAGGCAGGTGGGCCTGGGAGGGCCTGGAACTGATTCTGGTAGGAGGTGCCTTCCTTTCCCTTGTAGTTCCACTTCAGGGGATTGGGGCCCCCTAAGGAAGAAGAGGAAGGTAGTGGGAGAGAATGGGGCTGATTCTCTGCAGCCTTAAGGCTTTCTGGGATTGTAGCCACAGGAAGGTAGTCTGAACAGCCCTGAGCATTCTAGACTGAAGGATATCTGCAAACTATCCCCAAAAAACAATAAAAAAAGGGGGGGCTGTTGAGATGGGTTGGTGGGTAAAGGTGCTTGCCACCAAGCCGGATGACCTGGGTTAGAGCTCCAGGTTTCACCTGGTGAAAGAAAAGTGTCTCCTGCAAGCTGTCCTCTGACCTCGTACTTGAACCCTGGAACATGTGCACATGCATATAAACACAAGAAACATAAGATAAAATAACTACCAAGGCTTAAGACAGGCACCTTGCTAAGTCCATTTCCCTTAGGGTCTCATGTCGTCTGGTCTCAAATGTCACACAGTCAAATATGGCCTTGAACTGACTCTCCTGCTCATGCCTCCCTGCAGTGCTAATTTTACTGGCATGGCCACCATGCCTGGGCTCCTCTTTCCTTTCTTCTAAATATTTTTGTTTTGTTTCAGGGTGTGTGTGTGTGTGTGTGTGTGTGTGTGTGTGTGTGTGTGTGCATTGAGAGAGTATAGGAACTCGCAGTTCTCAGCCTTCTGAGTGCTGGGGTCATGCGCCCAGCTCAGGCTGAATGGGACCTGGTATTCTCTCACTCCTCTTACACCCTTGTGGTACAGAGACTGCAAGTGGCCGGGTAGAAAAGAAGAGCACGGAGGCTGGGCAGTGGTAGAGCGCTTGCCTGGTATGTGTGAGACTCAGGACAAAGAAAAGGCTGGGGAGATGCAGTAAAACATTTGTTTCCACAACCATGAGGACCCGGGTTGGGACCTCCAGAATTTACATAAAAAGTCAGAAATGGTGGCACAAGTCTGTAGTCTCAGCACTAGGGAGGCGGCTCCCAGGTGCTTGCCTGCCAGCCAGAGCAGCCTATTTGAGGACTTTCCAGGTCATTGCCAGACCCTAAGTTCTGGAAGACAGGTCCCCTCTCTCTTTAGACCTGAGAGTGTACATCTTAAAGTGTTCTCCATGGCCTGTTGCCCAAGGGTGGGCTGTCCCCTCAACTCTGTGACAAGGAGGCAAGAAAACAGCAAAACAATCCAAGCATGAAAACATCATGTACTTGAGAACAGCTGGAAGGTGAGCCACTTGGAACAAACAGAACTACTGCTTATCCCATGACATGAAAGCCCCTGGGCGGGAAAGGGAGGACATTCGGCCCTGGGAAGCTCACCGCAAGGAGACACTTCCCTTCCCCACACCCCCCTCTCCTCTGTAGACTAGGCTGTCCTGGAGTTTGCTCTATAGAAGAGGCTGGCCTAGGACTCACAGAGATCTGCCTGCCTCTGCCTCCTGAGTGCTGAGATTAAAGGCATGCGCCACCATGACGTCAGTTTTGCTGCATGTTTGAGCTCCTGTTCTGATGTCATTTCTATCCACTCTTTTTTTCATTTGGAAGCCTCCCCTGTGAGCAGAGCCTCACTGCTCTGCCCCAGGAACAAGGGGGCTTTCCCAGGTGGTCTCTGACGGATGCTCTGAACACCCAATAGGAGAATGTTTACTAGATAAGGCTGGTTTCTACTGTGTCATCACTTTGGTTTTTTTTTCTGTTATTTTGGCTTGCTATATACTAATAAACTCATTCATTCAAAACCAAAAGTATGGCTATCGTAGCTCATTCTCTTAATGCATAAAACACCCTGTTTCAAAGTAAAAGATGAAGATGTCTGAGCTCTGAAACTCAAGGTTGTCCTCTAAATGACATGGTTGCACCCAAATCACAGAATCCCAAAGCCCAACTCAAAGGGTATCCTCTTACAACTACGGTTATACTGGAGTCATTGCCAGACAATTCCAAAACAAAAGTAAAAAGAAAAACCTAGGGCGTCATATACACTAGTCCAGTGTTCTACCATTGAGCTATGTTCTCAACCTTTTTTCTTTGGGGAAACTCACCAAGTCTCTCAGGTTAGACTTGAACTCATGCTGTAGCCAAAGCTGGTCTTGAACTTCTCTCAGCCTCTTAAGTGCTTATATTACAGGCATGAACAATCATGCTCGACTTTTTGTTTGTGTGTGTGTGTGTTGTGTGTGTGTGTGTGATGTGTAGGATTGAGAACAACTTGCAGGAATGAGTCCTTTTCTACCATGTAGGACCTAGGAATTGAACTCAGGTCATTAGACTTGGCTGCATGTGCCCTTTCCCAGTGAGCTGTCTCATAGTCCCTGGTACCTAAATTTCCTTGATATTTGGAACTGGCTGATTCTTTTGTGGGGTAGTGCTGCCGCTGTGCATGGTAGGATCTGGGACATGAGCCAAAATTTGTAGTAATCCCTTCCCTTAGCTCCTGAGTGCTGGGATTGTAGACATGAGCCACCAAGCAAATTGGGATTTTTTTTGTTTTGTGTGTTCATGTGTGTGGGTACATGAGAATGCACATGCATGTGAAAGTCAGAGGTTGATGTCAGGTGTCTTCCTCAATTGCTCTCCATCTTATATTTTGAGACAGGGTCTCTCACTGAACCTGGAGCTCTCTGATTCAGTTAGACTGGCCAGCAATTGGGGAGGTGTGTGTGTGTGTGTGTGTGTGTGTGTGAGAGAGAGAGAGAGAGAGAGAGAGAGAGAGAGAGAGAGAGAGACTCCTACCTGTCTCTTTCTCCCAACCATGCATAATGTAGGTATTAGGGGTGGAACTTGGGTTCTCATGCTTGCCGATCAACCAGTGTACTGACTGAGTCATCTCGCGAGCCTTGTTTTATTTTTTGGAGACAGGGTCCCAGGCTAATCTTGAACCCACTATGTAGCAAAGCTGAACTTCTGATCTGAAGTGAGTCTTTACTTCCCCAGTGCTGGGATGATAGGTGTTGGCCATCATGCCTAGTTTATATAGTGCTCAGGTTGCAAACCAGAGCTTCATGAATGCTAGGTAAATACACTACCAACTGAGTAGTGTATTCTCAGCCCTGGCAGTTTTAGCAGCAGCATCTTTGGTCTCTACTGGGTAGCAACTAGAAGCGTTTTCCCTCTCCAAGATGACAAGTGGCCATTTGGGGTGTGGACGAGGGTGGGGGTGTAGTTTGTGAGGGGTCCCTGAGCGACCTTAAGGTGCACTTGGCCAGAGCGCGCGCTCACCCAGGTGGCTGCTGGGCACACGGGGCTGAGGAGTGTCGTCGTCGAATGGCGGGTAGTGTGCCTGGTACGAGGTGGGAGGAATGCCGAGCTGCTCCCTGTCGCCTAAGGGCACCGAGTCGCGATCGAAGATGAGGCGCGCGCCTCGGATGTCCTCACGGGCGTGCGGCTCAGGCCAGCGGTAGTCAGAACGTGCGGTGGACAGGTTGAGACCGGTGCGCGGGTCCGCGTGCACGTGCAGGTTGCTGATCTGCATGGCTCGCACGCGCTCCATTGTCTGCTCCCGCCGCTCTTCCAGCGACGGCATCTCGGGAGGCGGCGAGAACGCGCGGCGCACCTCGGACACGCGCTTCTGGGCCGCCCAATGCGCTTCCATTTGCAAGACCTTGGGGTGCGGTGGCGAAGCTGGGGGCCGCGCCGGGGTGACGGAGGAATAGGCCGGGAAGTCCCGGTGCGTCGTGCATTGCATAGTACCATCGTGCAGCCGCGGATCGGGGCCCAGAGCGAAGTGTGAGGCTTTGAGGAACTCCAGGGACATCGGGCACACAGGCATCGTGAGGCCCCTGGCGCCACCTGCGAGGGGCGGAAGACAAAGGCCTAAACTCGTGAAAACCGCCTTCTCCACCACAGGACAATGCTGCCTTTCAGTCCTTAGCCTGATCCCAGAAAGAGGAAAGAGACTCCTTACTTGGCTCCTGCTGTGTAGGGGTGTTGTACTGTGCTGGCTAGTTTTACGTCAATTAGACACAAGATAGAGCCCTTTTAGAAAAGGAAACGTCCAACAGCTGAGACAATGCTTCACTAGATTGACCTGTGGCTCTTCCTTTCTCTCTTTCTTTCTTTCTTTCTTTCTTTCTTTCTTTCTTTCTTTCTTTTTTTCTCCCCCCTCCTTCTTTCTTTCTTTTTCTCTATTTTTATGGACCAATCCCAGTTCTCCCTCCATCCTCTCCCCTCCCCCCGAATCTGCTTCTCATTGAAATTAAGGCCTCCCTGCCTCCCTTGGGGAGTCCAACTAAGACGTGTGCTGCGTTCTATAAGGCTGAGCAGGCCATGAGGAGCAAACCAATAATCAGCACACCTCTATAGCCTCTGCATCAGGTCTTGTCTTCAGGTTCCTGCCTTGAGTTCCTGCTCTGACTTCCCTGGATGATGAACGAAAAGCTGTAAGGTGAAATACACCCTTTCCTCCCCAACTTGGTTTGGGTCATGCTGTTTTGTCACAGCAATAAAAACCCCGAGATGGTTACCCCTGTCATCAGTTAGCCAAAATAGATCAAGAGCCCTGCACTTTTGTTAGCTCAGGACTGGAGACACACACATACATGAGTGAATACTTAAACATTGTGATGGGCAGTGAATCTGAAATCACATAGGAGGCAAGCCTCCAGGCAGGCCTGTGAGAGACGAGGTTGGAGGTTTATTGTGAGTTATACACTAAAAGTGACCCTGAGCTCGGTCCTGGACTGGATAAATCAGCAGTTCTCAACCTGTGGGTTGCCCCCCTTTTGGGGGTCAGATCACCCTTTCCCAGGGGGTCACATAAGGCCATTGGAAAACACAAATATTTACATTATGACTCATAACAGCAAAATTACAGTTATGAAGTAGCAACAGAAATAATTTTATGGTTGGGGGTCACCATGTGAGGTACTAAGGGTCACAGTGTTAGGAAGGCTGAGAACCTCTGGTGTAAAGGCTAAAGTGAGTTGAGCACAAGCGTGGGTGGCTTTGCTTGTCGACTGCAGATGTCATGTGACTGGGCTCCTTCCACTTTCAGCTTCAGACGGTCATCCCGCTGCTCGGCCAGCTGGAACTTGGTGCAGAGCTGCCGCATCCTTTGTCTTCCTTGATGCTCCTCGGAGACCCAGGCTGCCCATCAACATTCGCTCTCCCTGACTGAAGCCTGCTATGTGCTCACATTGAACTCTTGAAGCAATAATATATCACCTTTTCTTTTAAACTTCAGGCCCTGGTATGCCTTCGCAATGATTAGTATGATGTTAGGAATGAGTAAGCAGAACTCTTCAAACACACTGGGTGTCAACAAGTGAGAGGCCTGGTTTAAAATGGTTCCTAATGTAAATTGGTTTGAAGAAGGCACCAGAATTGTTACGGTGAAAAACTGAATTAGTCATGAGTGTTCTGGCTTAAATTCAAGGAGAGATGAGAACAAAAGGGCTAAAGAGTACAATCAGACAGAGTGAAAGAAATCTGGAAACCACGTGACTCAGGATGGAGAGCAATGGAATCAAATCCCTTAAATAAAAATTTATTTACAATAAAAAACCTTACATTAGGTGCTTGATTCTATAGCACATGAAAATAAGCATAAATGAAAAGACAGAAATGCCATATATTGGGCTAGGGTTCTGATACGTTGGCAGAACGCTTGCCCAGCATGCATTGGGTTAGAACCCCAGCACTGCATAAACCAGGTGTGGTGGTACAGGCTGTCACCCCAGCAATCCGAAGGCAGGGACTGGAGGTTTAGAAAGTCAAAGTCATTCTTATCTGCATAGAGAATCCAAGGTTAGACTAGGCTACCTAAGGTCTCAAAAAGAAGGGACTGGACAGATGGCTCAACCGTTAAGAGCACTTGTTGCTCTTGCAGAGTAGTTGGGTTCGATTTCTAGCACCCACAAGCTGGCTCACAGCCATCTGTAACTCCAGTCCCAGAGGATCTGACACCTTCTTCTGGTCTCTGAGGGCATCTAACATACATGTGATGTACATACAATCATGCAGGCAAAACACCCAGATACTTAAAATAATAAACTAAGTAAATCTTAGAAAAGAAAAAGAAAACAAAACAAGATTTGAAGTTTGGATCAATCCATGAATTTGATACCTAGCATGCTTGTTATGTGGCTCTTATAACCCCAGCATTGGGGTGGCAGAGACAGGGGGATTCCTGGGGCTCAGTGGTATTTAACCTAGCTTAACCAATGAGCTCCATACCAGTGAGAGATGTTATCTCATGGAAATTTTGAGAATGACACCTGAGGTTGTCCTCTAGAGCCTTTACACACACACACACACACACACACACACACACACACACAGTCAGCTGCCTTTGTGCTGGTAATCCCAGAATTTGGAATGTAGAGTCAGGAGAATGAGAAGTTCAGGCTCAACCTTGAGTGTGAGCTTGGGATCAGCCTGGGCCAATGAATGAATGAATGAAAGAATGAATGAATGAAATAAGGAGCCCTGCACTGCAATCTGCTGGTAGTGTTCACCTAGCATGCATGAAGACCTGGTTCCACTCCCAGCATGGCATAAACCAATCATGGTAATACACCTATAATCCCCAGGTTAGGAGGTGCAGGAAGATCAGAAATTCAAGGTCACCCTTGACTGCAGAGCAAGTTGGAGGCCAGCCTAGGCTACGTGCAACCCATCTCAGGTTAGAGCTTCAGCTTAGGGATTGAGTATGGGCTTAGCATATGTGAGATCCTTGGTTCAGTCCCTAACAGTGAGGGGGTCAGACCTACCTCACTGGGTTAATGAATCTTGAACTTAGAACACGTCTGGTCCCTCAGACTCCCTCTGGCCCCCGGTCATGCCAGGGGCTGGTCTTCTGGTCCTTTCTAGAGGTTAACCCAAGGTGACTTAGCCCCGCTCATTGTGACATTGTGGCCCCAAGAGTTCCTCCAGATGACGTTGTCACAAAGGTACCCTGCTACCCCTGGGGGCCGCCTGGAGGACCTGGACTTGAGTTCTTGTAAGAGACCCATGCATGCAATTTGGGTTTTCAGAACCTCAGTTTTGTGATCTGGGAAACAGGATGGATAGTAGTGATGACTTTAAAAGCAGCAGTGTGCTGGGGCTATTATTTTGCTATTATTATTTTTTTTTTTTTTGGTTTTTCGAGACAGGGTTTTTCTGTGGCTTTGGAGCCTGTCCTGGCACTAGCTCTTGTAGACCAGGCTGGTCTCGAACTCACAGAGATCTGCCTGCTTCTGCCTCCCGAGTGCTGGGATTAAAGGCGTGCACCACCACCGCCCGGCGTTTGCTATTATTTTTAAAGATTTTCTGTTCATCTTGACCTTTGTGCACGGGGACTAACGCCCTTCCGTCACTGGCTTCTTCTTACCATTCCAGGACTCACAGGTTGCCAAACAACCTTTTTATAATTTAATTCCTTAAAAAAAAACTTCATTGGTTTACTTATTTATTTTGAGACAGGGTTTCTGTGTGTACCCCTGACTGTCCTGGAATTCACTCTGTAGACCAGGCTGGTCTTGAACTCAGAGATCCGCTTGCTTCTGCCTTTCCAGTGCTGAAATTAAAGGTGTGCGCCACCACTGCCCAGCTTTAACTGTTTAAAAATTACATTTTCTGAGGTTAGCTTTAACTTTCAATTGACACAACCTAGAATCACTTGTGAAGAGTCTCAGTGAGGAGCTGTGTAGATCCAGTTGACCTGTGGACTTATCTGTACCGGTTTGTCTTAAGTATCGATGTGGAAAGACCCAGTCCACTGTAGGTGGCAACATTCCCTAGATGGGGTCCTGGGATGCATAATGTAGTATGGAGAAACTAATGAGCACATCGAGCAAGAAAGTGAGCACCGATGCGTTTAATGCTCTTTGCTGTCAACTGCAGATGTGTTGGTAGTAACTCAAGTTCCAACCTTGCCTTTACAATGATGGACAGTGAGATGAAATACCCGATTTCTCCCCTAAATTGTTCGTTTTTTAGAGAACTTAAAACACAGCAATATAAATAGAACTAGAGCACACTTATTTGTATATTTTGGGAGTGCTCCATGGTGGCCTGTGGATATCAGGGAACAACTTTTGGGAGTCATTTCTCTCCTTGGGTCCTGGGGATTAGGTCATCATGGGGGTCACTAGGCTGATGGCAAGTGCATTCACCCACTGAATCATCTTTCTGGCCCCTGATTATTTTTGAGATGAATCTCATGTAGCCCAGGCTGTTCTCCAACTTGCCATATAGTCAAGGAGGACGGATGTGCACCACCATATCCACGTTATGTGGTGCTAGGGATGGGACCCAGGGCTCAATGCATGCTAACAAACACTCCACCAACTGAGCTACAGACCTGGTCCCTCCCTCAAGCTACTATTTAAATGGATGTTTCCCTACTACCCAAAGGTTGCTTGGAAACACATTCTTGGTTAAATGAATTCTGATGAATTCAACTGATCTCTCTCTCTCTCTCTCTCTCTCTCTCTCTCTCTCTCTCTCTCTGTGTGTGTGTGTGTGTGTGTGTGTGTGTGTGTGTGTTGGGTGTTTTAGAAAGTCTGCAGAGGATTTGTTTTGTATGAGTTTGGTGGGAGAGAAGGGAATGGGGCTTTCTGGCTGGGGCTGAAACTCATCTCGGTTACGGAGGCGCAACACCAAATTGGCCTAGTTTCTTTTCCTTCTTCCTTTTTTGTATTGCTGTGGATGGAACTCAGGTTCTCCCACACGGGTAGACAAGCACTCTGCTAGTAAACTAGGCATGGTGGTAAATGCACCTGTAATCCCAGCATTGTACTCTCAGCAGTCAGGAGGCGCAGGTTCAAGGCCAGCTTGGTCTACATA